TAAATCGATGCATCTGTACGCAACAGAAATCAATCGACGAGTCATTGTTTAAGTCGACGGGCGACTGCGTTCGCAATGCGCGCGCCGACGAACCGACGAGTCGTCGAACGAGCGACCATTCCGTCGCCGGGTCGTCGTTTTGAACGGTCGACGGCTCGCAGCGTCGTTGCGCGCGCCGCTGACTCTGACTCGACGGGGTGGTGGAGGCCACTCACTGTAGAGCAGCATGCTGGCGTTGCTGGCGCCCAGCACGTTGGCGGCGACGCACGTGTAGTTGCCGTACGTCCTCCGTGACGTTCACGAACGTGAGCAGCGAGTGGCGCCCGCTGCTCTGGATGTGCAGCCCGGCCAGGCCGTTCAGCAGCCTAGAGGGGAGGGGGGAGGAGGAGGACACGCGCGTGTGTGTGAGCGTGTGTGTGTGAGTGAGAGTTCGTGCGCGTGTACGTGTGAGTGTGTGAGCGTGTGTGTGTGAGTGAGAGTTCGTGCGCGTGTACGTGTGAGTGTGTGTGAGAGTGTGTGCGCGTGTACGTGTGTGTGAGCGTGTGTGTGTGTGAGAGTGTGCGTGTGCAAGAGAGTGCGTGCGTGTGTGAGAGTGCGTGCGCGTGTACGTGTGAGTGTGTGTGAGAGAGAGAGTGTGCGTGTGTGTGAGTGTGCGTGTGTGAGTGTGCGTGCCCGTGTGAGTGTGTGTGAGAGTGCGTGGTGTGTGTGTGTGAGAGGTCCCCAGGACCGATTCAGATAATCGTCACTGGCGTTGGATGGGCCGCGAGCGTGGACTCGAACTCGGGTCTCTGCCGGGTTGGTAGCGCAGCGCGCTAACCGCTGCGCCACCGCCCCACCATCATCAATATCAGGCGAGAGGGGAGCAGGTAACGGTGGCCTTCAGAAGCCTGCGGACGAGTAACCCGTCGTGCTTTTCCCATAGACCACTGACGACGATGATGATAACGACGACGACATCAATCGTTCTCATTATTCAAGAGCCCATGACAAATTGAGAAGATCACGAGGGGACTCCTGGCTTAGGCTGACGTGAGCAGCGATGGTGACCAGATTACAGCAGAGTTTTTCATCGCAAGGCCACGGGCCGGCCCATTGGTGGCCTTCAGTGCGGCCCCTGACGTGCTGCCCCCCCCCCCGACACCAAAACACAAATGGTGACAACCCCCATCATCATCACCATCATCATCATCGTGCTGCTGTCAAACCCAACGATGGTTTAAAATGTGTGGCGGCCTTCACACTACATTGCTACCAACCAACAACCACCACCATCATCATCATTATCATCATCATCACCATCATCATTATCATCATCATCACCGTGCTGCTATCAAACCCCACGATGTTTCAAAATGTGTGGCGGCCCTCACCACGGCTGATGATGTCTTATCGGCCAAAAGTCCCCCCCCCCCCTTCTAGAAAAGTAGTGAACGACACAAAAACAGTAGACATACATGAGGCCTGTTAGCGAGTACCTATTGAAGGCCAGCAAGGTGCAAAAGTGCGGTGGGGCAACTACGAGTTGACCACCTCTCCCACACTCGCCGACGCTTCGTAACTGATTTGTGTAATTATTATTTTTATTTTACCAGGTAAAGGCCCATTGAGCCTTGTAGCTCTTTTATCAGAAGCACCCTGACCCAAAGCGATAGCCAACGAAGCGGCTTACCACGTGGGAATTTATAGCAGCGGCCAAATACTGTAACGCGTGATGTCGATTCTAAATGTGGAGGGGAAAACAGGAGGACCCGGAGAAAAAATCCACGCGACCGTGGGGAGAGAGACACCGCAAACTCCAAATATAGAGCAGGCGTCAGGGTCGGGATCAAACCCCACGACTTCCTGTGCACCAGGCGAGGTAGTTAACATCTCCTAGCCACCGTGATGATGATGATGAGAGCGAAAAAAGTGACACGCAAACTCCAAATATACAGCAGCAGGCGTCAGGGTCGGGATCAAACCCCACGACTTCCTGCGCACCAGGCGAGGTAGTTAACATCTCCTAGCCACCGTGATGATGATGGTGAGAGAGAGATACGCAAACTCCAAATACACAGCAGCAGGCGTCAGGGTCGGATCAAACCCCACGACTCCCTGCGCACCCAGGCGAGGTAGTTAACATTTCCTAGCGACCGTGATGATGATGATGATGAGAGAAAAAGTGACACGCAAACTCCAAATACACAGCAGCAGGCGTCAGGGTCGGTATCAAACCCCACGACTTCCTGCGCACCAGGCGAGGTAATTAACATCTCCTATAGCCACCGTGATGATGATGAGAGAGAGAAAAAGTGACACGCAAACTCCAAATATACAGCAGCAGGCGTCAGGGTCGGGATCAAACCCCACGACTCCCTGCGCACCAGGCGAGGTAGTTAACATCTCCTAGCCACCGTGATGATGACGATGATGATGAGAGAGAGATACGCAAACTCCAAATATACAGCAGCAGGCGTCAGGGTCGGGATCAAACCCCACGACTCCCTGCGCACCAGGCGAGGTAGTTAACATCTCCTAGCCACCGTGATGATGACGATGATGATGAGAGAGAAAAAGTGACACGCAAACTCCAAATATACAGCAGGCGTCAGGGTCGGGATCAAACCCCACGACTCCCTGCGTACAAGGCGAGGTAGTTAACATCTCCTAGCCACCGTGACGATGATGATGAGAGAGAAAAAAGTGACACGCAAACTCCAAATATACAGCAGGCGTCAGGGTCGGGATCAAACCCCACGACTCCCTGCGTACAAGGCGAGGTAGTTAACATCTCCTAGCCACCGTGATGATGATGATGATGAGATAAAAAGTGACACGCAAACTCCAAATATACAGCAGGCGTCAGGTGGGGATCAAACCCCACGACTTCCTGCACACCAGGCGAGGTAGTTAACATCTCCTAGCCACCGTGATGATGATGATGAGAGAGAGATACGCAAACTCCAAATACACAGCAGCAGGCGTCAGGGTCGGGATCAAACCCCACGACTTCCTGCGCACCAGGCGAGGTAGTTAACATCTCCTATAGCCACCGTGGCACCCAACTACCCTCCGGCACCGACCTGCGATCCTCCTTGAACCACGTGAAGCTTGCGGAGGGATCGGCCTGCGCCTCGCAGCGCAACTCACGGAGCGGCCCACGGGGACTCCGACGCTGCGAGCCTCGGTGATGGTGGGGGCGTCTGTGGGTTGGGGGGGGGGGCAGGGGGTGGGGGGGCAGGGGGGGGAGGGTTTGGGAGGACCCGGTGGGCAAGAGGGTCGTGGGCAAGAGGAAGGATGGGTTTACGGCAGTGGTTCTCAATCATTTTGTTCGGCGACTGTGCATTTGTTTCAACCGAGACACCGTCACTCCTCTCGCCTGACGACCCAACGCGGTGCTGAGAAATATGAATGATCATCGTGAATATGTTCAACAATTGTCCATTTTGTTAATATCATGTAATTTATCGTTTATTTTTTAATTAAATTGTATTATTTTCATTTTATTACATATTTCATCATCATTATTTTGTAACGGTTAATTCCCACCACCACCAACAACAGCTGCCGCTGTTCGCCACTCAGCGGCGGTGACGTCGCCACGGCCGCCTGTGCCAGGCTGGGTGCACCCTGAGGTTGTTCACGTGGTTCGCCGAAGGCTCACAGCTGATCGGAGGGAGCTCACGTGACAGACCCACCAGGTGCCATGCAGTCGACTGAATGAGATGACCGGCAGATACATCACCGACAACAACCGCCATTCGCCACTAAGTGGCGGTGACGTCACCACGACGCTTGTGCCAGGCTATGTGCACCTTGAGGCCACGTGAAGTGTCGAACGCCCGCTGGCAGGAGGTCACGGGGCAGACCCAGCAGGTGCCACGGGTCGACTGACTGAGATGACTGGCTGATGCACCACCTGTGCCCCCTACTGTGCCAACTTGCTGTGCTTTAGCCACCCGGCACTCCGCTCGTTGTTGTGAGCGTCGCTCCTCCGCCCTCTGTTGTTGTTGGAGGGCGACTGCCTCCAACCGCCCAGCAGCGTCCTTCACGAGCCTCCTCCACAGAGGCCGATCTTGACACCGCTGGTGCCGGTCATCGGCAAGTCCACTCAGCAAAAAGATGCATCACCACCATCACCTGCAGCAGGAGTTTCAGCAGCAGCAGCAGCAGCGGCGGTGGCCAGGGGGTTGCGCGTCGCGACCGACTTGCAGTGACGAGTCTTACCGACTCGCAGTGACGAGCCTTACCGACTCGCCGCTGCACCGAGGCGAGCGAGACTCACACTTAACGGAGACGCGGACGCGGCGAACGTCGGGAGCGGAAACCTCGTTGGCTGCGCTGCACTCGTACTCGCCCGCCTGGTCCCTGCGGATGGACTCGATGTCCAGGAATTCACCCTCCTCAAACTCCAGCGCTGAAGTGGGGCCGGGGGGAGGGGGGGGGGGCGGACACACACACGCGCATGGGTACGCAAGTACAGAGTTGTGTGTGTGTGTGTTTACCGATGTTCGATCGTGTGTGCTCAGGTGTGTGTGTGTGGGAGCGGTGGTGTAGCGGTTAGCGCGCTGCGTTACGAACCTGGCGACCCGGGTTCGATTCCCGATCACGGCCGACACCCGGTGACGATTATCTGAACCGGTCATGGGCCTCCCCTAGGTCTACTCAGCCTCAAATGAGTCACTGGTGCGATGTGTAAACATCGCCACTAGAGAGGCAAAAAGCGGCCGTGCGTGGTGCTGGCCACCCACCCCATCGTGTGCCACAGTGCCGGCCTTCATAGGTGCTCGCTAACAGCACTTTTGCATGGTTACACGTGTGCACAGGTGTGTACGTGCGGTATGTGTGTGTGTGCGTGCGTGTGTGTATACACTGGTGTGCGTGTGTTGTGCGGAGCGGTTAGCGCTCTACGCTACGAACCCGGCGACCCGAGTTCGATTCCCGCTCACGGCTCAGAGTCGAGCCGTGACAGGGCTACAATGCTGCCGCTGCTGCTGCTGCTGCAGCTGCTGTCTGTAATCCAGCACTGTCGAGGCAGCAGCTGCAGCAGCGAGGGTTTGTTGATCACCGCACCGATGTTGTTGTGAAACCCCCTTCTTGCTGTGGGCGTCGAGGGAGGAGGTGGTGCCGTGCCCTGCACGAATAGATATCTTTCCCATTTGTACGGGGATAGAGTGTTTCCCCCTCGCACGAGTGCGTGTTCTCCGGGTGTCCCGGTCTCCTCCCACACTAATCAACAACTCATTAGTCATCTTAATATGTCGAGGACGGCGTGGGTGGTTCCTGCGTGATGCTGAGAGGCAATGCGGATGAACGACGAAACCACTTTATGTGATTGATACTACGAATGATCATCACGCTAAGCATGATTATAGGAATGATAATTACCTGCGTAGTTATAATCTGAACCATTCCTGGTCCGTGACTGATGCAAATGAATGATCGATGATGACGACGACGATATAGTCTTCTAATTGGACCGCGAAACTCGCCGCACCAATGTGGAATTTCCACCACTTGGGTTCTCTGGTGCGTTATTTCAAGATAAATGAGTAGCGCCCCCCCCCCCCCCGTGACGGACGGACAGGGAAGACGGCGGGGTAGAACAGCCGAGCTTCAGCAGGGAGTGATGGATTACATACAGGGTGCATTTACATAATATCGCGATACGATCACAAGTGCATTAGAGTTGGCGAATTCAAATGCTCTCGTATATCAAATACTCCTTCTCTCCCCCCCCATCTCTCTCTCTCTGTCCCCCAGTCCATCCATCGCTCCAGATTATAAATAGATGCTGGGAAATTGTGGGGGGGTCGTGGGGGATGTAACTTTCCTCCTCTCCTCCTGCGGCCCGGCCTCTCCCAATTAACGTCCCAGTTGCTCTGATTTATCCCTTAAAAGTCAACACAATTCTGTCGATAATAACACCGCTGTCTGTTACGCGTGGCCTTAACAATATACAAACATATTCTTGGTTCTTTCGGTAAAGTCACGTAGAAGTGAAATAATAAAATAATAAAAATATAAAACGATCAAAATTCTCACGACGTTCCATGTGCTGTGAAATCCACACCTGATGATGATTGCTTGTGTTACAGGATTTTTAGTGTTTTATATTTTTATTCTTTTATTATTTCCCTCCTACGTGACTTTACCGAAAGAACCAAGAATATGAATCCCTGCAGTCACGAAAGCTTTAAATCGAAAAATATACAAACATCTAATAACTTCTTCTTCCTAGCGTTGTTCCCACTGTGGCGCAGGGTCCGCTTTTCGGCATTGTCTTCTCCATTGGCTCGGTCCAGGGCATCTTCAGGGGATGCGTTGACCGTCTTCATGTCTTCCTTTATTCGATCCATCCATCGCTTCTTCGGACGTCCGCGTGGACCGCCGATGTTTCGGACCAATGGGTTCTTATTTCACAACGCGTAGACAAGAGGCCAGAGATGTAAAGGTAGATAGAGAGAGAGAGGCTGGTTGCATAAACCATCAGCACGCGACACCCCGTGCGGTCATTATCCTCGAAGCAGCAGCAGCAGCAGCAGCTGATTTTGGACTCAGCCATCGAACAAAGGCGGTGGTCACCGCGTTGTCGCGCGGTGCTTTCAGATGCGCTGCTGCTGTGGCCGTCTGGAACGCTCTTCCCTTCCGATATCGGGAAGCCGCCGGGAGCTGTGCACTTGTAAATCACCATTATCATCTCGATTGACAACCTCATTTCTTTAGAACCGTTTGTTGTGTGCGTTAGTTTGTTGTCCTTCCACCGCACGGTCGGCTACGTACGGGTGCGAAATAAGTTCAACATACATACCTGCCTTCTCCATGTGCTGTGAAAAAGGGTCATTGCCCGTAACGTCGTCTATTACATAATTGACGTAAATCGTTGCTTGTTTTTTTCTTCATATTTGCTCTGACTTATAGTTGCTTCAATGCTGCACTCAGTTTGTATATTCGTGCTGTAGTCATGTTTGGTGACTCGGGAAACTCACTCACTCACTCACTCGACTGGACATCCGTAAAAAAGGAGCTTCATTGCTCATCGGATTCTTCCAGGGAAAGGTAAAATAAAATAACAAATTCCGACTGAGACCGACTCATCCTGGCCACTAGAGGTCTCCCACGTGTCTCTGTCCCAAACGAACTTCAAACCCACGGCAGCTGTACCGCCCTTCACGCCCGCGTGGCCACGGGACGGAGAGGCATTTGCGATCGGAATCCTCGCAGCGAGAAGTCTCGGAGAACGGCCCGTGGATGTTGATATCACAGAACTGCTGCCGAGGTTACATGCCCACGCCTGGGTGAGGGAGGGGGGGTGCTGGAGGTGTTCCTTCGCACGGCGACTGAAGCCACGTTGTTGTTGTTGATGTTGTTGTTGTTTTTAGAGCAGGTGCATCTGATCCAAACCATTGCCTCCCGGCAGTCTGTGTCGGGCTCGATGGGGAATTGCGACGCCTTTGTCTTTTCGTGCGAGAAACTGGTCTCGCTCGTCTCCTTGGTCGACTCCAGCCTTTCAACGAGTTCCCCGTTCCGGTGGGTGAACATCGCCACTCGGGGAGGAGACACAGGCGGCCGGGCGTGCCGTTCCGGCTTACACAGGTGATACTCGCTGACAGTACAACAGTCTGTGAAGGCTACACTGGGGGCGGGGGTGGTTGGGCAATCCGTGTCTTTGTCGGTGAGTGCAGAGAACGCGGCGCGTCCTCCACTCATCCATCTTCTCCCCATCCCATTCCCGTCTCAATCCCACCGCCTCTCAGCCACTGTCGTGCCAATGCGATGGGAAACGATCCCCCCATCTGTCCTCGATTAAACACGTTGTTCGGCTGCCGCTGCTGCCGATGCTGCTGCCGATGCGGTAGTCGTTGCGACAAAAGAAGGCGCGGACATCAAAGGCGATGACTCAACACACTCGTAGGTGTAACTGCTCACGAAGCCGGGCTTTTCACGCCTTGATGCGATGGCGTTAACCCCCCAACCCCCTTGCGCCGCCGCTGTTCGCCCTGCGGCGCCGTCCGGAGACGAGGCTACGCGGGAGGAGGAGGAGGCTGCAGCTTTGCTCTCGACCAAACAGTTTCGAGGGACAATGTTGTCGTACATTGTTGTCCACCCGCGTGTGTTTGCATCAGAGGTCGCAAACGGGTTTTTTGATTCCTTACCCGTACCCGGCCGTACCCGTACCCTACCCGTACCCAGCCGGGTACGGGTAGGGTACGGATATCGGGTACCTGATTGCGACCTCTGGGATGAAGCCATGTTGCAGGCGCGGGTGGGTTGATTCTAGGAACTTGAATTGTGAGAAGAGACAAGACGTTGGGAAATGAGTGACAAACAGTTACTCACCAGTGACTCACGGTCTACCCGTACCCGGCCGCACCAGGGTCGCAAACGGGTACCCGTACACGTACCCGGCCGGGTTCGGGTAGCTGGGTATCGGGTAGGGTACGGATATCGGGTACCCGGTTGCGACCTCTGGTTTGCATGCTGCTGTTTATTTTTTTTATCACAAGCGTCGTGATGCGCGGTTAATGCAGACTCGATGATGACTTGCAACAGCTGTGTTTGGACTTCTTAACACCCCCTGGTGGTATTGCCGGAGACGATGAAGCCCATTGTTATCACGACTCCCCCCCTCCAATATCACACTCGCCAAGAGCACTGCTGCCTTGAAGCGAAAACAATAGAGAAGCGACGACGTTTCGGGCGATGGCCCTTAATGCATAGCGCACACGTAACGAAAGGTAAGATGCGCAGAGAGAGAGCCCGTCTCTAACACATCGAATACTCAAAGTATTTTTTTTCTTCACACTACCGGTCCGGTCAGCCACGCGGCCTTCTGGGAATGAATCAATACATTTAAGGAGTATTAATTTCCAGCGAGCTCGTTACTGTGAAATCAACGGGGCTGAAGGTATGCACGCGCTCGTGATTACTGCCGAAATGTTGATATGTTTTTAGTGCGATGAATAAGGACCATTGACTGAAACGTCTAATATTCAAAATTGCATATCTGTATATTTGTTTAAACCGTTTCGGGCCACGTAGTGTTATTGACCAATGTGCTGGGCTGTCTCGCGAAGGGGCCTCACGGTGACGAGGAGATGTTAATTACCTCGCCTGGTATACAGGAGGGCGTGGGTTCGATCCCGACCCTGACGCCTGCTGCTGTATATTTTTAGTTTGAATGTCTCTCACCACGTCTAGAAACACAAGTTTAGAGTATTTGGCTGCGATGCATTTCCCGATGATGATGATGATGAGCCACTTCGTTGAACTATCATTTGTCAAAAAATAGCTATATAGCTCAATGGGGCCTTACCTGGTAAAAGTTTAGTAGAGTTTGAATGACCGCATTTCGCATGAGCCATAATCATAATCTTTATTATCCTAGACGAGAAGCAGGAATCTGGTGGAGCTTTG